TCTCTCTCTCTCTCTCTCTCTCTCTCTCTCTCTCTCTCTCTCTCTCTCTCTCTCTCTCTCTCCCTCCCTCTCTCTTCCTCTAATACGTTGAAGCTTCGCGCACGTTTAGCAGAAACATTGTGCGAACCGTGACGTGACGTCCGATTTGTAACTTCTGCGAAGGAAGATACCATGAAGCGCGCCGAACTGGTCCTCCGGGCGAGGATTCGAAGGATCGGATTATGAGATGTGTACAAGCACGAAGATTCGCGTGACTTAAGGCACTAACAGTATACTTAAGGCCTAACGCGGCGCGTCCTCTTTCTTAACATTAGAAGGCACTATTCCCTATCAGAGATACAACACGTAACAAATGTTAATTTATCAACCCTCGCATTAATCTTACGCGCAGAGAGAGAGGTTTCTCTTTAATGATATAAACTGGCTCTAGCATATACTGGCATCTTGTTCCGTCGTTTCAACTAGCTTCGGATAAGGTGTCCCAACTATTAGCTTTAGTCGCGGCTTTATGCAGCGGCGGAAACACGCCTCGAAGAAACAGGCTAATGCTACGTCTGTCACCTATTCGCGGGGGAGAGGATGGCTGGATAGGTGTGCGTGTGTATGTGTATATATATGTGGTTGTGTGTCGCGTCCCTCAAAGTTTCTTAGAGATTATATGTACACGATGTGTGTATTCCTCTTTTCTCTCTTTTACAATATCAAGCGAGATAAGCTGCATTGAGATTTTCGTATTTCGCGCAACATCTTTCGATCGATGACCACCACGCGCAGTCTCGGCGACTTCGGTATTTAGGATCTTTCCTAATTATCTTAAGTCTGTAAATTTCTTACACATACGTATTGCTTACAACAATGCGTACAGACGTGTGTACGACGGCAGTCTCGGTCGATCGGAATTCCGTTACCACCTTCCTTCCTTCTCTGGAGCAAATCTTCAGCTACGACGTAAGTGGAAAGAGAAGGAAATCGTCGGTGAATTATTTGTACGATAATGAAGAATATGTTGACGTGATTGAGCTGATCGACGCGTAACGAATCAATGAAAATATCGGCACACTTTCACACATCGCTAATTCCGAAATCGCCGGTTCAGTGTGCGCCAAAGGCATCCTGGGGATCACGATCGACACTTCCAATCGCGGAAGATTGCGACAAACGAACAGAACAAGAAGCGGATCGCTCTCCCGACACGCGATACACGCGGGACGTTTGAGCATACATTATTTTGTCCCATGGATCATCATTATATTGAACCGTGTCGAGTGCTTCTCTCCTCCAGGATACCGATACGCAAAAAGTGACGCACAGCATCATCGTCGTCGTCGTAGTAATAGACGTGGTCGCTCGCACTAATACGATCAGGATCGAAAATCTCAAAGCGCGCGATATAGAAGGGAATAATTTATTATTATTAGCTCGATTATGCGCTTGCTTTCTCGTAAAGCACGAAGTATATTGAGAACGACATCGTCGCGATTGCACCTTCTACTTTGGCACCTTTACGCAGAATCAAAAGTCGACGATTCGCGAACGCGATCGAGATACAAGGAAAAGCGCCTTTCGCGACTAACAGGGGATTTCGAAGAACGACCTCGCGCGACTCGAGGCGACTCGAGTGTCACAGCGACGCCGTCGTGATTGCTTCTTTATACGCACTCGTAATACTGGCTTTTGGGATGTCGGAGAAACGTGTTTGATAAAATCCCCGCTTCATTAGCACGTGATGAAAGGTCGATGATTGTCCGTCCCTAAACGCGAAATTCTTTGTGCATAATCGAAGGATCGCTATAATAATATAATGCTTCACGATAGTGTGCCTACGATCACGATTGTAGTTTATTTAACTGAGCATGCTAAGTCCCAAGCTCCGTCACCGGAGTTCGATATTAACTCTTTAATTTACATCCTAGTCGTTTAATTGTCTTAGTCGATTAATTCATTTACTGGCTCTATTCTTCACGATGTACTCGATATATGGATGCTCTAGACTAGTTGAGCTGGACTTACTTAAACGTACAAAAAAAAAGAAAGAAAGAAAAGAAGAGAAAAAAAGAAAGGGAGAATGGGAGGGGTGGGGAAAGGAGATAACGAGAACTGGGGAATCGAACTGGAGTAAAAATTGGCTAGAAACAGAAGAGTGCGGATTACACGTGTGACGACACTCGTCTCGTCGCGCCGAATTCTGCATTCGATCTCGACAACGAGAGCGGATCCTTTTGGTCCGCGTCGCGAAATCGCAGAGCGACAAATGACGCGCGCGCGCTCCCTGTCAGGGCTCAGCAATTGCCGCGCGAAAACAAGCGCCTCTAATTCAAACACGTGTGAATCCGATTATCGCGGCTGCTGCTGTGATCGCGTCCTTGTTGCTGGATGAAACGACCTCGCGATCGTCCATGCGACGAGAGACAACCCGAGAGTCGAAAGAAGTCTCGCGAAAGAGACAGAGCACCGTGTGTGAGAGAATCGCGATCCCCCTAGATCGTTCTCGAGCTCGATCGCTCGGCTCGCGATTAAGCGCTAAGACTAACGAACGAATTGCTTTATAACTTCGTCGATCTATTATACTTCTCTTTTCCCTAGTTGCTGCCCGCCCGGTCGGCCGTGTGGAACACGGACCGGCTCGTGGCGCGGCTCTTCAGGTCCCAAATGTAAGAAAATATCATCGTCGTCCATCTCTCGTCTAGGATCACTCGGGATCAAGATCGATTGCCGAGGACCGCTCCTCCGGCTCCCCTTCGTTCCGTCGCGTCGCGTTGTGTCGCGGCGACGGCGACGGTTACACGGCCCTCCTCCTCCTCCTCCTCCTCCTCCTGCTCTCTTCATCAGTGCCTCTTCATGTGCAGCGACAGGTGATCGCTTCGCGAAAACGATCGCTGACAGAGATGGCACTTGAACGGCTTTTGGCCCGTGTGCTTGCGATAGTGCCGCGTCAGCTCGTCCGATCGTGCGAATTTCCACGTACAGCCCTCCCACGTGCACTGATACGGCTTCTCGCCTGCAACAGATCGATAAGGAGCGGATAAGTGGAATGTCGATATCGTGGGTAAGCTTCGATCGATCGAAGCGTCAATGTGCTTGAATTCGCCGGGATATTACAATATCTTATTCCGTAATTCTATCGTGCTGTGTCGATTCGAGAGTACAAACGCGCGAGACGATCGGTAGAGCATGCCGGTGAGAGAGAGATACTGGATGGAGAATGAGAAATAAACATACGAAACTGAAGGTCGCGCGCGAATACATACGAGAACCTTATATAAACGCTACCATGTTCGTATTCTTCGCGAGAGGAACTTTTCGTCGACAATATCGTCAAGTCGTCCTAACAGTGCCCGAAATCATGGCGTTCAAGATACTCTTGCTGTTTCTGATTTTCGGCGTTACTAACTTGATGGCTTACTGTCCGACTCGAAGTGAGTACACAATCTTTCGTGTATCGCGATATTATAATTGTAGCTCAAACGACGCTAACGAGAATTTTCATTTTTCATACAATGTACAGAATGTATTTCGGGTTATCCGTGCGACACGTGCCACACCTGCTATTCCACACCAATCGGCACAAACATTTGCGAATCCATTTCAGACGATTGCTGGGATGACATTCAGCGCAAATTGCAATTTCATAAGAATCTCGAAATGATACAGCATCAAGCGTTCGATCTGGATAATATGCATTTCCAAATATAGTCGTATACTTCCGATGTGTACGGAACAAAAGCTTAATTGTCGTATAACAAAGAAAAGCGTACAAACAGAAGAGATATCCACGAATACAAAGACTTTATAAAGCTGTTTTCAGTTTTTCTTTTATATAAATATAAATTGGATTCCTCAGCGAAAAGTAATTTTACTTTTATTTTAGTAATACTTTTTCTATTTTTGCTATCATATTAGTTGCATTATTAGTCAATTTAAATTAATAATTTATACATTATTCAAATTTAATAATTTATTAATGTGATTTAACATTAATAAATTATTTATCAAATAAATTAATTAATTTTTAACTAACAGTTCAACTAATATTGCATATATAATATTCAATTTGAGGAGATTAATCGTATGCCTGGGTGCGAGTATCTCCATTTTCAATTATTATATAATACAATTATTTTCGATGACTTTATTTTTTAACTTCATCTCAAGTATTCTGTCTGAAACGCGTTAATTGACTTTAAACAAAAATATTGATGTTTAAAACCTTAGACTGATTACAGATATATATATATCATTGTGTACAAGATGTAAATTTATTTATATGCAGTTGTAAATTTCCTGAAGTAGATCTATCGAAAAATGTACATAATTGTACATAATAGTGTATATAAATTATTTGTAATTATATTACAATCATTTACATTCAAATACTTTTTTTTATATAGAATGTAAAGAAATTTGATAAATTAATTATAATTGATTGTATATATTGATTATTATATTGATTGTATTGTAACAATCTCTTTCTTTTTGCAATTAATACAATTGAAGAACAATGTTAACAATTAAAAAAGAATTAATCCTATAATATAACAGTACGATAATAATAATATCAATATTAATTGTGTATGAGATATAATGTAAAACGTAAATTGTACATTTTTTGACTTATCAAAAGAAAGATGTAGATGTAGATAATTATATATTATATAAACATACGGAGTCCAACGATTTTACACACCTCTTCTTTCCCGCTCTTATAATCAGAACGAAAATTCATTTTTGTAAATCCCATCTCCTAATTAGACAGTATTTACTTGATGCTAGATGCTAAGGTATGGCACAAATTTGAAATTATGAAATGTATAGCATCAACGTTCGAGTAATGAGAAACAGAATATTTAGAATGCTACATTCGGTATATGTATTGTCGATACGACAAAGAGGAAAACATTTGTTAGACCGAACGAAAGGCGTCGAGGTAAACAATTACAGTCAGTGTCAGCTATCATAACGATTTTGCCTTCGCAAAACGAAACAAGCGCGAATACCGAACTGTCTGTTAGTACGATATATCACTTGTTAAATCATGACAAACCGCATTCGCGCGGAAATTCGAAGCGGTCATGTCACGAAAACAACGAGCTCGCAGACGTTCGACGAGAACGTCACTGGTATTCAACCGCAACGTGTACACTTGGAAATTTCACGATGACACCTCAGAGACAATCTGTACGAAGTGGCCATTTTGCAATAACGAGTCGAGCGGAAAGGTAGATCGAGGCGAGACGAGGAATCGTCTCTTTCGTGCGGCCCGGATGGCTCGGCGATGTGACGTAATCGCCATCAAGTTCAGCCGCTTCGTGCGGGACGAAGACGAAATCGAGCGGCGAATCGAGCGTTACGATCAGGTGGCCGGTTCGCGATCCTATTAACCGCGCCGGTATAAAACCCGGATAATGGCCGGGAACGGACGCAGCGGACGGCGGAGACGGTCTCGTCGAGCGACGACGTGCCGTCTCTCCGAGTCCGATCTCGTGGAAACGACGCGCCGCGGTTTGATCGATATATTTACGTGCGCGGATCCGCCGACGGCGCAGAGAGCGGCCCCCGCGGGCCTCCGGCTGCAGGTCGTAAGTCACAGCGGGTCAAGACACGAGGAGTGTTATTACCGGCGGGGGATTGGGCGGGATCGACGCTTGATCCTTAATTCGGTATTTGCCCTTGCAAATGGCCGGTGTTAAGCCACAGACGGGACAATTATCGCGTCGTGGGGCGTGAGCCGCCAGCTTGGCCTCCCAACTCCGCGCGCGAGACGAGCAACACGGAGAGAGCACGCACATTTATTATTACGCATTAGGGACGATTAATCTTTACAAATTGGACGTTTTAATTACCGCACGATGCGCAGGGAAATCGCCGAGTTCGTCTTAACCTCCGCGGGGTCTCTTCTCCTGAGAGATCCCGGATCTCTTTTTCGCAGAGTAAGTTTCTGATACACGCATTCATTTCCTGCACTGTCTCACGCCGTTAGAGGAATGGCCGAGGTAACTGTAACGCGTATTTCGAGTTTCGTTAAATTTCATAGATTAGAGGACAGAGGGTAATTAGAGAGATAAATTTGAGAAAAGAGAATCCCAGCCGCGCGGTCCGCGGAGGAGGGGGACAATTGTTCTCCCGCTCCATCAGAGCGACGAAAACATCGCGCTACATGCACTCACGGTATCTCGGTAAACGCATCGGGTCGTTACCACGCGCGCGTTCACAGTTAGCATCGCATTGTCCGTAACAACCGTGGTACCGTCGCCGCGGTAGCGTCGCGCGCGCTAGAGAGGAAAGGCAAAAAGAGAAGAAAGAAAGAAAGAAAGAAAAATGCCGCTTCGGAATATTAACGCCGCCTTTTTGACAGTAACCGCGGGGCTAATTACCGAATGGTAATTAACGAGGCAGTCCGCGTTCCTGAAAGCCGATGCAATTAGACGCGGTGAAGTGCGGCGCGGAGTCGGGGGAACGGGGCAGGTTGTTTCCTCGCTCGATCCACGATCGGTTGGAAAGGATCAAGCTCGATGGCGAAGCGCGGCACGGATGATCGAAGACATCCACGCTCTCCACGCGGTAGATCTAAATCGAGCGTTTTAACGTCCCGACTTCGCCCATCGGGCGAATATTATTGCGCAATGCGCCGGCGATACTACGTGCACGACTAATGACGGGGAAGGAGTGTGCGGGCGCTTGCGTAATAATGAGTAATTAGTCCATTTACGAGGCCGCGCGCGCGTACTCTCGTAATCCCGGCCGATGGGCAACCCATCGTGTGCGTCGCATTAGTTGCTCTGTTATTAATGCATTTCGATCGCATTTTTGCGCGCGGCCCGCGCGCTTATTGCGCCATAGATTAACGTCGCGTTATTTCACCCCGGCGAGATCATCAGCCGCTCGTTCGCAACGCGTCGTCGCTCGCGAGGGTGGTGAGAGTGGTAATGCGAATTGCGTCTGCTCACTAATCGATTTGGAAAGATTGCATCTCGTATACTGAGAAAAGAAGCAGCTGAATCGATAAAATTGACTGTCGTCCGCCTTCAAAGAAATATTGTATTTATTGAACGACTATTATGCGTTAGTGCAACAATAAGTTGCGTTGATATAGTCCTTGACCAAATCGTAATCATTGAATCAATTGATAATACACGTCACAGCAACCATATAATTCATTCAATCGACTAATATTTGCTTGAACGAACAAAATTCATTCAAGCAAAGTCTTGCTAACTACTTTTTTTCAGTGTATGAGTGATCCATATGGCACTTTTACATAAAATGACGAAATAAAAATACAAAAGAGATATAAAAAAAATTATCACAATTTGCTCGAAATAATACGTTATGTAAAATGTAACATGAAAACCCGAGAGTAACTTTGAATAAATCTCTCGCTGCATCGGTGTAATACAGAATTTGCATCATTGTATAAAGTAAATTTAATGATTAACTTATTATACATTAGATCAGTCTTATAGATGTAATTAAAACAATTGTAAAATTTCCATGACCAATGTGTGTCTCACGTCGTGATAATCATGGAGGTCTGTCTGGGTATAAGCAAACAAATGAATCGATTGACGCAACCCTTGCATCAATTGGTAAGCCGGGAAATTGCTATTATTTATCAGAAACATTGTATATCGAACAAGAGAAGCGAGCGCGATGGAAATGTGCCGTGGACGAAAGGACGAGGAGAGTCGGGAAAAAGAGCGACAGGCGAGATCGCGATCAACGAGAACAATGCGGGAGCGTGCTCGACGGGAAAGCCGGTAATCGTAGCCTTCGGTATTAGTGCATAAGTGCATTGTTAATAACAGGTCTGTCGTCGAGTAGTCGAAGCACCAACGCCGGCCGTCGCTCGTGGAGAGATCCACAAAGCGGCGCTGCCGACCGATCATCGGCGTATCCCTCGATATATACGGAACCGATCGACCGTCGTCTCGCCTGGCTTGCGCCAAGGCTAATTCGCCTTAATTAATACGCGAGATCTCACCAAACCTCCGCCTGTCTATCAAGGGTCACGCCAGCCGGCTGACATCGAGTCTATACGCCAATAGTTGCGCACAGTGATTCTCAGTCGCGATCGCTTATCTTCCCTCGGTCTTGCCGGTCGCGTATCGTTTTCCCTTGTGTGATTGCACGAGCAATCACGCGGCGTCGATAAAACCGGAATTCTAACAAGTTCCGTAGTTTTCCCTCCAAAATGAGACGCGATTAAAATCAAATAACAACACTCGCAAGAGCGCTGCTTGATTTAATTGCGTCGTGTACGATACATTGCTGAAAAACGACGTAACGACCGCAGGAAACGAAATAATTGCTCTCTTTCATTACAATTTACTATTTATTTAAATGGCAGCTTTCAAGTAACAAGCGCGGAATACATTAGCACGCGCGTACACCGCCGCTCGTGAAGGATTCGAGCGTGTTGCGCGCGTTTCCCACGCGCGTATCGCTTGCGGTAATCGCGCGCGCCCAAAGTCAATTACAAATAAACCTAAATTCAAATCGTTCCCATTTAATTACGTCTCGTTAAGGCTCTTATGTCGGAATCAAAATCGTGACTTGTGGAAAGCTCCGACACGTAAGGGAGCAGACATAAGGGACGATGTTTTCGAGAGAGGAGGCGATTGGCCCAGCCATTTCTTAACTCACGCGGGGAAATCCCCCACCGACGAAGGAAACGCGCGATAATTAGAGATACCCAGTAGATACACATGTTGCCATACGTTTTCTCACAAGTTAGATAAAGAATTTCATGTGTACGTTAATGGGCTTAGGAAACATCTCTCACCGTATGATCGTGCAAGGGCGATTTACCGTGCGCAGCTCATAATGAGCTATGATTCTCTGCCTGTAATGCAACTCTCGTTACACGCAACAACGTGCATCACGTGAGCGCGCTCCTCTCGTCGTGGATATTAGAAGTGGCATTAGACTCTCTTATTGTTCCGTTACGACGTCAATAAGTCGCGTAATACGAACAACGTCCGTCACGACCTGTCGCGGAGGGCAATTAATATCGCGGATTGTTTTCTTTACCCCCCGACCTGCGATTCGCTTCTCGCGTTACCCGCAACTCCGCTACGTGTGCAACGTGAATAAACGTGATAACTAACTTCATATGTAGCCCATGCAATCGAAATCGGCGAATCCAGACTCTTTCTTAGATCGTCGATTGCAAATTTGAGTGATCTCAACCGAGCGCAACACGTCGCGGACTTGGAGAAACGCCGTTCGTTTCCAGATGACGTCGTTTTTCTGTTGCTACGTCTCGAACTCCAGTTGCACAAAGTTCCCCGCAGTCACGAGTCGTCGCGAGCGAATTAGCGGGCCCGTCGCTCCTCGAACCGGGACAATTTTACGGTCGTTCCCGTCGGCTTCGCAACGACAATCATGATCGCACGATTTACGAACGAGTTACGGCCGCGGAATCGTTGAAATGACAGTAATCAATGAATTGGCATTTCCCACATTCAGGGTATACCGGCAGTATCCGCGTCCCCGTAAGGATATCTCGATGGCCGCATAATGCCGCGGCGTTAGAATGATGGATAGACGACGGCGACGATGGCGGCGGCGGTTCGCCACTACGAGTCGCGGCGCGCGTTGCGCGGTCGTCGAAACAATTATTAGTCGAAGCGAAGCGCGTACGACATACAAACGGCACGGGCTGTATGTCAAGAGCTGGCCTTTCGTACAACCGGTCCGATCACCCGCGCCGCGGATTTCGTAAAACCGTCCACCATAATGGCACCCTAATGCGCGAAGCATGTTCCGATCTTTGCCAAACAAGCCTCTCTTCACGCAAACGGAGTATCGAGCGGAAACTAAAGCAAGAAGGTGGCGCGCGTGAATTTCGCAAGAACAAAAATCAAACACAAACGATCCCTACGAGCAGTCTAACGGTTTTCCAACTCTAACCTGACTTGAAGTTGAAACTTCTGACCAGGAAGTCTCTGTCTTGCGACGACCATTGTACGCTTAATTTTCAATTTACTTTTGATCCTTAATCTTTATTACAAACAAGTCGCCAATAAAATGTGATCACATCGCTGAGGACAAAACGTGCATCCTTAATTAAAAAAAGAAAAAAACAGAAAAAAACACAAATATCTTTTTATACTCCTATAATCAAAATTGTTCAAAACCGCGCGCGTAAACTCGATGATAAACTTGATAGGAAGGACCTGCGGGATCCTCTTCAGCTTCTCAGAGTTGAGCACCGCGACCGCGCCGCGTCTCTCAGTTGAACCATGGACCAGACAAAAGATCCTGGTTCTCACGACCACGCCCTCTCCCCGCCGTCTCTGGCCTCTCTAGACGGCGGCGATGCCTTCACGAAGGTACCTATCCACCGGAAATTCCTGAAGCAGCCGCGCCGTGTATGCATACGGTCAGGAACGGAACGGCGCGACCTCCTCCAAGTTCTCGTGACGCGGTAATAAATGGCCAGGGTGTATACGCGAGGGCACCCTCGCGCCTACGAAACGAGTAAAAGTGTGAATTCCCGACGGACGGAGGCACCTCGGCGACGCCTCGGAACGGTATCGAATTTCCGCGAGGTCTCTACGCTCGTGAATACCGGCGTGCGAATGCCGGCGACCCCTGACCTCGGCGGGTCGCGGATCACGCGCAGGAAAAGTCCCGGCGCCGCGCTGTGCCGCGCCGACGCGCGTGTGCCGTTTATCTGTTATTCCGCGACGCGCGACGAATCCGCGACTATTTCGAAGGCCTGCTCTTCTTAGCTGAACTAGACTGTCCCATTGCCATTGGAATGAAGCAAATGTGTAACCTAGCATTGAGAGAGAGAGAGAGAGAGAGAGAGAGAGAGAGAGAGAGAACGAAGTTCCAGCACAGTACTAGCTCAACTAAAAAAAGTTTCCTCCAGGTCTCGAGTCCGTGAAGTCGAATCGCGAGGCGCGCGATTATCGGATCCTGAACGCCTAGTTAAATCGACAACCACGTGCTGTAAGATGCTGCGACGGAATAACGGGGTACATTGTCACCAGTTCTACTCTCTTGTTGCAACATGGTACATGCTAATAAAAAATATACAAAGCGTACAGGATCCTTTGATCCTTTGGTTCCTAAAAACGCGTTCAGATTATCACCAAGCAACTCCACTGACAATGTAGTGAAGGTTCTCTGCGATCGAACATAATCGCGCGTGTCGTAGAGGAACGATTGCCAAAAGCGCCTTTCCATTCTAATCGCACAATCTTGTCTCGAGTTGTCGACTCGTAAATCTTATAGCGAACGGCTACCGGTTACCAATTTGAGCACATCGCTCGGGAGGTACACGGCGGCCTCGCTATACTGTTCTCGTAAGTACTAAAGGAACGCCCGATGACTAATGATTTACCGTCGAGTACTTGACCCAGCTGGGCGACAAGTCGTTAACTACCGGCTGTGCGTTTGAGTTAAACATTATTATTACATCGGCGTAGGTATTTCACGGTAACATTTTGGTAGCGGACGTCGATATAACGCGGGTAGACGCGGAGGATGACGATTTTAAATTACGCGTGGGAAAGCTTCTTCTTGTGTAAGAAAAAAAGCTTACTTTCTACAGAATATCTCAGGTATTCTCGCGAAAATGACTGATATCGTTCGAAAGAATAGCGTCATCGACAAGTCTATGTACTCGAAGGAGACGGGGGGAGAGGAGGGGAAGGACTAACGTTAAAATGACGAAGCGTGCGATCGTTCTGGCGATCGCTGACGCACACGCGTGACTCACGATCGCGCGTAACGATCGCCAACAATGTAGCGCATTTGTTTCTCGAATCGATTGATTTATTCGATCTTGATTAGCTTTTCCAACTGAGGTTCCAATAAGGCACCCGTAGCCTCTCTCGATCGTGTACGAATGGCAAGATTTATGACGCGACGATACTATGTAATTTAACTAAGTTTTCTTTTTTTGACATTTTTAGCGGCGTATTCGATGTAGAGATATCTTCGCTTGCGTATGACCAAGTCTTTACGTTCTGCATATTTTATAAAGAGATGAATTTCCCACGATACACACGCGACCTGAATAGATACGCGGGAAACCTTACCTTACTCGAGGAAACTGTTTCTTTTCGAAAAGATCACAACTAATATAAAAATTCGTCAATAGACGCGGAAAAGAACAATCTCAGTCTGTATAGTAACCAAATGAAACACTATTTCTAATTTATAATATAATTTTTTAACCGTTGAGTCGTAATTTCAGCGGTTCTAAATGCCGATATTTTCGCGTTATATTCGCAATTTAGTATGGTGACCGTATCACCGATCGACTTACCGGTGTGGGTCCTCTTGTGTGCCTTGAGGTGCGAACTCTTCGTGTAAACCTTGTCGCAGCCGGGTACATCGCATCTGTGAACCTTACGTCTTTTCAACGCATCGCCGCACTCACTGTCAACACCTAAGCCACCGCCGTTTCCGCCAACGCCGGCGTTTCCTCTACCGCCCAGTCCGATACCGGTCGCTAGCGTCGGGCGTTTGTGGAACACGCTGCAATTAGACGGTTAAACCCCCGCGGGCGGTTAAGTGGCATGTTTGCATTGGACAAATATGAGAGTTAGTATCGCGTGGCGTCAAGAAGCTACTCTAACATTACCACATCCGGACGAAGAAGCGCACTTTTCTTTGCGCGTATTTTTTCGCGCAGAAAGCAGATCCTTCGAATTCGGCGTGTGGCACGAAATAAATTATACTCTCCAAATTTTTTGGAGTGAAAGTTCATTCGATAAGTAGAAGTGACCGTCGTACACGTACGACTTATGTTATACATACTTAAAAATTGCATAAAATTCATACATATATATAGTGAAAAAATAAATTTTATGTTCGCGGATCTCAAAGAACTTGTTCTGATTGGAGAAACGATTTAACATCGTTCAAAAACGAAATGATAGAGAAGACGCGAAGTAATATCTCTCTGAAAGAAATCGAGAACGATTTATAAAACGGCATAATGTGCGACACATCGCGAATTATGAAGGAGTCGAGGCCTGGGATCTTTTTGCCTCTGATCGCCGCCCGTTGCTCATAACTATACACCATGCACTCGCGATGACATTGATTACGACGAGCATACGAACGACAAGAAATTCAACGCTCCAGCGCCAGCTGCCAATTTTAATTCATATATGGACGAGACATCTTCATCAGATCCGTTTTGCACCAGGTATCGACTCGATTGCGTGTTCCACGACAGATGATCTCTCACTCTTTGAGTTTTCTTAAAATGCAAAGAGCGCGCTGTCATGAATTATTATAATTGCATACTTCGAGACTAACTTTCGAAGCTAAATTTAACTTAATGTACTTTCTTTTATTTTTACATACAACTTTACTTTTGAACTGATTTATTCAGAGAATTATCTTTCTGACGCTTCACGCTATACAAATACCAAATTTGCATTAAAATTTTTATTAACAAATGACCAAAAATTTTACATTACACACAAATATTACATCTTAATTATATCGTAATACTTGTGTGTTTTTTAATATATGATATCATATTATACTATGTAAATGATATGTTACTCGCAATGTAAAGTTTTTAATTCGAGTCAGAACGCCTTCTTACGAATGCATGAAAAAGCAAGCGATCCTTCCAAAGCGCTGCGTCGAACGGCGCCGACCCGATCCGATCGACGGAAACAAGAAAAGTGCATCGGTTCGATCAATCTCAACTTGACACACTGAATTCTGGCGGGGCTTGTTTTTCCATGAAACTTGTACGTGATATTGATATAGATCGGCTTGTATTCCTTAGTATGTGCCGTATTAGTGCCGGTTAATTTGACACGACGTAAAAGTGTTTGTGGATAAAGATAAGACAAACATCGGCAGAAGGCGATTCGAAATCGAAAACTTCCAGATGACAAAACAACAAATATCTTCAAGCGATTTTAATTAAAACCCTGCGAATCAAGAGCCAATAGTATCTGATTCGGCCCGACTCATTATCGAATATAATTCGGTCTGATCTACAGGGTATATGTATTAAACTGACGATTAATAACATACTCGTTGTGCGCAGATAGAACTCATCAAATCGAACACAAAATTCTCCTACCATTTCAGAATCAATTTTCTTTAGTTAATAACTCAACATTTTACGTAGTTGTTTACGAAATGACACAGGAATTTTGTGTTTAGTTTGACGGGTTTTACTTGCACACAACGGATGTGTCATTAATTGTCAGATATCCTGTATATTCGCTTTGGTAAAATGAGACCTACTTGATAAAACTTCTCTTGTCTTCACAAAAAACTAACCCGGGTCGACTTGATCAAAGCTTGTATAGATTAGGTCGGTTATGTTTGACAATGAATCGGGCTGGATCGGATATTATTCGACCTTGATTTGCAGGGTTCCGATTTCGATACACTAATTCCACGCAAGATAAAATAACAATAAAGCGCGATCTGCTCACTGGATTATCATTGTAATTTTGTCATCAGCATAATGACTCGCGGACATGAAGCTGCTTTATTTATATCTTACATAAATTCGTAGGAGTATAAATAACGAAACGATACCGATCTACATTGTGGCAGCTGGATCGCAAGAATTTTGAAAGCGGCTCAATAAAACCATGCCGGTTATCCACCGACGCGTCCTCGACCGCGCCGTATTTCATCGAAGTCGTGTGTGCGAGGTCTCGCACCGTTTGCACTATAAACGCGGGATGGCGCGTTGTGCTCGACTGTACTGACGTAAATCCGTTTGCAGTCGCAGTAATCCAGCTCGTGCGTCTCTACCTAGATCCGTTCTTCATAAAGGAAAACGTCGTCTCTGTTGTTCGTTCGTGCGCTTCTTCGTTGCGATGTAAACGCCATCAGCGAAAATCAGATATTCTCCGCACTTCGAACTAACAACTATATATATATATTTCTTTCTTTTTTTCTCGCAACAACTATACCGCACCCGTCACAGTCCGTTAACCTCATGTTAGTGGATAGGAAATTACACGTTGATGAGTCACGTGGCGGGAACGCGCATAATTGAGATACATTTTACATAAAAAAAAAAAAAAAAAAACGGTAATCAATAGATAAAAATAAACCAGTAATTGTCACTTGCAAATGATTCTATTTCTCGCTAATAATTAATGAATCTTAGTTTAAGAAAAAAAGAATGATTCGGGCGACAGAGTATATTTGTGTATAGCATAGCTCGGGCTATGCTATACACAACAACAGACTATATAGAAAAAGAAACTATACAGAAAAAAGAACGTTTTCGCGCGTTCGACCATAATTCAAAAATGAAGATCGCGAGTTGCTTCGACAGCAACGCAATAGGAAAAGTTAGAGCCGCGATACGTCGTCGTGTCGGGGCAAGTTGGACGCGCGCTGGTCATCGTAAATCCGACGTTCCAATGGACAGACAAGAGAAGAGAGCGACTGGGAAGTATATTTGTCGTGAAGCATTACCACGAGCAGTTCGTCGCCGATCCACCGCAGGGGGCGCGCGCTGACATGCGGGTACCAGTACTCGCGTGAAGATACTCGTGTTCGCTCGGATGCAGACGTGCGTGTACGCAGAGAGATAGAAACGCGTGCGAAAGAGTAAGGGAGAAGAACAAGAGAAGATAGTAAGCGAGAGAGAAGAGTTAAAATTTATATCAGACGCGCTTCTTCCAGGTTTTTTCGTCGTACATCTTGACATGTCGCGATCAAACGGGACTAGATAACTCTCTCGGATTGTACAACGAACCGTGTAATTACAGAAACAAATATCATGCCAAATTCATGATACGATATCAAAACAACCCAGATAGACTTTCATGATAGTGTAACGTGAAATAATCGATGATAGCAACTTTACAAATTTTTTAATTATACTTTTGAAATAAGTATACTTATATACTTATTAATTATTTAATTCATATCATACAATAATGCACACGGAAAAAACAGTATGCAGCCAGATAGATTTTCATCATTATCACAACATGAGACAATCCACGATGGAAACTTTTGATCATTTTTTTTTTCATATTCCTCGTATTTCTATTTCGTCATTCTATATGATAAATATGAATGCCACATGGACCACTCATAAGGGATGCAATCTTTACAAATCGACTAATAATAAAGTCGCTAAAATTACGTAAGCCTGTCTATCTGGGAAGCTTTGTACGTTTTCGCGTGTTCTTCACTTTTGAAGATTTCATTTTAACTCGCGATTGAACTCACGGAGACTGTTTCGTGTATCGGTTCAAGGAAGACGCTTCGAAACCTTGACTAGATTTGAAAAAAAAACGGAGCTCGTGCGCTCAACACGGCGTGCCACATGAATGCGATGATTTGCGGGGAGCATAATGGATCGACGTCACGCTAATTGGGCGAGAAGAGCGAGTCGAAATTACTTACGCGCGTGCTCGGGCAAAGAAATCGTGACGGGACGTGTAAGATGAGGTTTGTTAGCGTGCGCCGGGTGTCACGAGATTAGATACTACGTTTTACTAGCCCCGGTCGGGGCTGCTTTCTGCCGCGGTGGGTGCACCCGGGGCCTCTTGGCACAATAGAAAACGACAGTCGCGAGCGCCCGCGGCGAGAGAGCAAATTAAACGAGATTTACGGAGCCCGCGCACGATCTATTAACCCTGAACGTGCTTATGCATTCGATGAAATACAGCGGCACGTACCGGGTCTACGTGTGTGCGACCGTGTACACGCCGATATCCAGCTGTTTCCGACCGATTTCGCGGCGATAATAAAGTCAGCCTTCGCACTTCGCGGCGAGCTGGACGAGTGTTGGCGCGATTTCCGCGCCACGTCTTCGTCGTCACACTTCAACGTATTCGGATTTATTTATAGGTGTTTACGCAACGCTCCATCGAAAGAAAGTAAGCGCAATTAGTCAACGACACGGTATTCTTCATCATTTCTCTCGGAGGATACGCCGCGCGACTTACCTCGTTTGCCGCGTGTTAATAAACGAACGGGAGGTATAACGACTTTAGCGAACCGACGTCCGTCGTGATCGGCGATACACGTATCCGAGAACAAAGCGATTTCTTCGAGCAACGTTCGCTAGAGACATCGTCGGCAGGACATTAAATTATTCTCGCATTGTCCGTCCGCGAGGTAAGCCTGCCTGGCGCGATCGCGCCGCGCCGACGGCGATATCAATTGCCAATTAATCACTAACTTTTATTCTACACGCCCGTCTCTCGATCGCGCCGCGTCCAGCCTCCGACTCTCTAACGCTTATCCACCGCGGCGTTCCCCTCTTCTTCTTCTCCCTCCCTCCTTGTCTCTCCCCACGGTCTTACGCAACGCGCGAGACACGCACTTGCCCAGGCGGGGACGCAACAGGTGAATAATACTTACAAAGACGCTTCCTTTATCCTCTGCAACGCGAGGAGGGCGGCGGAGGAGGAAACGAAGACAGAATCGGGCGGCTCCATCACGCGGACCGGCACGTCCCGTTCCCTGTCACGCTCCCTGTCCCGCTGCCTGTCGCGATCTCGTTCCCTTTCTCGATCCCGCGCCTCCCTCTCCCTGATCCCGGGCTCTCGTTCCTGTTGGCATTCCCTCTCGTTCTCGCCGCTCCTCTCGCGCACCCTGTCGCGCTCGCGCTCCCGGTTTCTCTCCCGGCCTCGATCTCGATTGTGATCTCTGTCCCACGCTGTTTCGCCCAACGACACTGCAAAAAGAAATGAGGCACCCGTCATACTCCCTCCGTCGTCAGGCTCGTTTATCTGTTCGTCTGTCGCGGTAGACAGTGTCGATGATCGCGGCTCTTCCTCCGGGTGAAAAATGAGACGTCGTGGCATTAATACAACTCGATGCCAGTATCTGGAATCGAAGCGATCGCGTTGGCAATTACACTTTGCAAATCCAAATGTATTATTTTTGCACGTACAAGCGTGTAATTTAATTGGACTCTTTTTGCGCACCTCTTTCGCTTTGGGATCGCATCACTTAACACGTTCGTATAAGTTATAATTTAATTTAGCATGTTTAAAGCGTTAAGTGACGTGACCATAAAAAACATGTAAAAAGACATTCAACCAAAATAACAAGTTTTTGCAGTATAAGAACTTACTCGTTGAACGGAAGAATTTCCTCTGACCATTTTTCATCAGTTTTAATGAATGTTCGCGTATCGCTGATAAAAATTTGAGGAAGAGCCTAGATACTCGTTATTGATAAAAAGTCAATCGACACTGTATTTTAAAAATATGCATAATTTAATAAATATCTATAAATTGTCTTCAGGAGTTAGACTATGTCTCACACGTGAGTTACTTGCACATCGACACAGTAGAAATTATCCGGATATAAAAGCCACGGAAGTCCGTGAGCACAGCTGTGCGTGCGTTATTATAATCCAAACAGGACCCTCAATAAGAATTGCCGATTTAACGGAGATTCTAACGGGGAACTTAAGTCACACCGTAACGACGTGCAACGATGTGCTAATACGCGGAAGGATATATCCGTTTAAAGGAGAGAGGCTGTCTTCGCAGATTGGGAAGCCATTTCTGAGAACCGGTATCACACCTACTGTCCAACTTGATTACGGTGTTTTCGCGGTAATTACGCGGTATCTCTCGCGGGGAGAGCGTACGATGTTACCGGGGGAGGGTAATTGCTATTATTTCTAGCCGGGGATAAAATTGCGCGTCACGATGTTGCGCGAAGACGCCAAATGCGAAAACGAATAATAATGGGAGCAGCGTATAATTTCTTTCGTGTACGACGCGTGTTTGCTACTTTGTGCGAACGTGCCAGTCGTGGCAGTCACGATACCGTGCCCTCGATCCATCAACGATCGAGGATCGAAGGTCGATGCCGGGCGAGCACGATGCACGGCTCATGCAACCTCTCTCGCGAATAAATCAGCAGCGCAACGCGGACGGCTCGTTTTCCTGCTCGCTCGAATCCTTCCCGAGACGCAATCCCGGGATGTGACGGCGCATTATAAATCGCCTTATGATTACTTTTGCACAAAGCTCTATGAGATCGCAGCGACCTGACTTAAAACACTACGTTTATCACCGACTGCTGCGGTGCATACGCCGAGCGTGCCCGAGTCGAATTTACAGGACCAACATTTCGACTCGGGTGATAAATGAACTCGTGTCTGCGATTGCCAGCAAATTTTTGCGAGTTTTCTTCTCTTCTATTTTTCATTCTCTTGTCTTCTTTGTACTTTCCGCGTAGTCATGCGAAAAATCGACAGGCACAGTTTATTGCCGCGTTACCACGGAACATTGCGATTCACCTCGCTATATCCGAGGAGTTTCGGCGACCTTCGACCCGTCGACACCGCGGCCGGCGCACCTTGATGCACCTTGTGCCGCGCTTCTTGCGATTTGTGCGCGTCGACCGACAGGCGTGTTAAATGCCCATGACATCGCTGTTACTAATTAATACGCGCTAGCCGCGGCCAATACATTTGCGAGATCGAGCGGACAGACGCGGTGAGCTCGCGGGAACGTCGTCGGCCGCGTCGCCGATAATATTTTGACCGCTCGCGTGGCCCTTCGCTCGATCATGGCAGCTCGCCGGCTCTCGATCGCAAGCGCGTAATCGTTGTAAAATCGTAATTTGCAGGCTCACCTTGTTACGCGATGGCGATGATGGCTTGTTTGCCGATAAACATGTAATTAGCGCCGTGTAATTCCGATTACACCGAAACCGCCGCGGTCTTTGTGCCAATTTCTCCCACGTTCCATTCAGCAGTCCGATACGGGGGATTAGAAGTGCATCGTTTGACGACTAATGGTGCCGATAATCGAGAGAACCTCGCGAACCAATCGATCTTCACAACCGCGTTAAATTACATCATTGTAATTCTACGGCAATTTCAAATCACGTGCGCGCGCGCGTCCCCGCGGATTGCAGGATTTACGTTAATGATTATGTTGGCCTTCGCGAGATATTTGCATTGCAAATTCCGTTTTTAATGGCAGGTACCACCGTGTTCATTAGTGTGTTGTGTTGATCGCTATGATGCTTCAGTTGAGAGCGCGTCCGCCGGGAAAGATTCTTTGGGACGGAAAGTTGTACACGATATAAAGTATCGCGCAACGTGTCACAGCGCGAATTATACTATCACTGTGGAAGAGGAGATGCAAATCTCCGCACGAAAATCTATGTCCGCGCTGATACGTCTAAATTGACTCGAGTCGATCGTACATTCAGGAATTACGCGACAGCACGTGGAGTTAGCACGTGGCGCACGCTCGTAAGTTAAGCGGAACGTTCGTGCGGAACGATCGCTTAAGCCGACGCGATATGAAACCTAATGCTTCCCTCTCGTCCTCGCGAACTCGAGCGGCCGCCCGAGGTGCACAGCCGACATACACGTACCGTTGTGTGCTTCTCTGCGCCTCTTACGACACTACGCGCACCTACTTACGTCATGTATTCGTGATGGACTCGCGTCAAACTAATGAGTAAATTCAAGAGTAAGGCACCTCGGAGAGACCACTCATAAATTCGCTATTTGTCGGACAATATTATGTTTCTATATTATTTCTTTTATTGTTTGAATAATAAATGTTAATTTGAGACGAGGTCCATATATAGATTATTATAAATATGAGAAATATTATTTTTTGTTTTTCTTATTAACGCTTTATTTTTGCATCGATTAATTTAGTAAAAATACACAGATAATAGAAAGAGGCATATAAGTGTTTGAATATGTATACATGTGCACATTGAGAAAAAATATTTGAAAATTTATTTGTGGGATATAAAGTTTACTTCTGCGAATAAGTTCTTTATCTTATAAGTAAATTTTCAAATATTTTCTTCTCTCAGTGCATGTATTTCGAATATTAACATGAGTTCAACTTTTCACCGCTGTATTTTCCAAATAAAACAACCAATAATTTTGAAATTTGCATATAATATAGTCGGTTTTAAGTCGGTATTAGTTTTTAATATCGCAGTAATTTATTTCAAAGCCTTAACTTTAGCTTACAGGGAATTAAAAACAGCCCCCAAGAAACACGTATAAAAAGTTTTGCAATTTTAAATATCTCGATTCTTGGATGATCAATCATTTCCTGATTGCACGAGCAGTTGAATAACATTCTAATTTATATGTGTAGTGCGTTTAAGTGAATTCTTAACAAACCCACTTACGATCTCCATAAGTGCTGGCACAATGAACCATGTGCGTGCGTCGCGAAGAGTACGTCAAGGGACGATCGATTTCTCGAAGAAATCGGAGAACAGACACGCGCGTAATTCGAGCAAAGCACGCAAACACGCACGCGTGTCTTCACGGTTAATCGCACGTTTCGATTTCCCATCCTTTTTGTCGCGGCCGGTCTCTCTCTCTCTCTTTCTCTTCCTTCCGTCTCTTTCTCTCCCGATCGAGAAGTGCCTTCAAATCGAGGAATCATTACGAATTCAGCCACGGCCGGGCTATGACGCGGTAAAAGCGGTGTTATTAACCGCAATTTCCGTGCACTGTACGGGACGGTTTCGCTTAATTAGCCGACCACTTCGGACACTTTTTCTCCCTCTCTCGCCGAGTCTCGTTCCGGGTGTCTCGTTAGGGCTATTAACTCCTCTCATAGCTCTACTTGAAACCTATGATCTGCAGTATCTAATGGGGCACGCAGTCGTCAGAACTCGGAATGACCTGACAAGGAAACGCCCGACATCGCCGACGTGTATTCGCTCTTCTCCTTTTTCCCAGATTCCTCTCTGTCTCCTTTTCCCTCTCTCGTTGTCTCATTACTGACCACAGTGACGGTTACGTAATTGGCTGTTCGCGTAAAAATACGTATCGGCGGGCGCGTGATTGGCGTCGCTCGAAAGTCGGGCTGACGTGTTTAATTATGCCGGGCTGAGAGAAGTACCGGCTTCCGGTACGAATTAGTGAGACCACGCGCAGACAGTCTGGTGCCGTTAATTTTGGATTAATAATTCACCAGCTGGGCTCTCTTGTCCCACATTTTAGTGCCATTTATAATGTGCGGACGAGAAAAAAGAATTTACCCCCTGTCAATATGCGACGCTCACTCCGCGCGTTTGATTCGACGGTTACAAGTACGATTGTTAATCCCGGCTTGTTTAATCCACTCGGCGAATTTCTGAAGTCTCGAATTCATACAGCAGAGCTTCGCCCCCTTCTCCACCCTTGCCTGCCTCTCTTTGTCGCAAAGGAGCGGGCGGGAGGGGGGGTTGATCCGTCCATCCGTCTCGCATTCACTACATCGTTGCCTCGCCCACGCCGGCAACGGGGTTAATCCCGAGCATTACCGGTAATAATGCGGTTTTACCGCGCGTTTTACCTTTTCGTCCGTTTCACCCTCCCTCCGCTCCTCCCAGCCTTCCGCCGCCGTCCGTTTCACCTTCGTACGCTTCTTCTTTTTCTCGCGCACACGTAGCCGACGCTCGCGGCGGCCGCGCGCGAGACTACGTCCAGGGGGTAATTGATAATGTTAAACGCCGGGGTTAATCCGCCGATTTATGGGCAGAGTGCGCGCGAGTGAATTTTTAGAATCCGCCAAATTGAGGGATAATCGTCCGACGTTAATGCCGCGCGCCGCTAAAGATCGCCGGGCGCGCGATAGGCTAAGGGTGGTCGAGGAAGATAAGTGGCAGTTCGGAGGTTATGGCGTTTCGCGCGATTCCGGTGGCGAATAAAAGGCCCCGCTAATCCGCTAAGGAAAA